CCCCCCCATATTCTTTTTTAAACCCCCCCCCCCCCCACCCCCATTGATTCATCCACCATCCCATTAGTCACATAACTCTCTCAAGCTTTCGCCATTTCTTTCACACGGTGGCTTTTATATATAATTAGCTATCAACACATTCGAGTTTTTTTTGTTTTGTACATCTTTTTAACCATCAATGGCATCAATAGGTCATGCAGTTGAATTTCAGGACTACTTCCCTTCCATGTTGGAGGGACTGGGAACACAAGGATTTATGTTGGAGCTGTGTAATGGGTTTCGTTTGCTAATGGATAGTGATAAGGGGCTAATCACGTTCGAGAGCTTGAAGAGAAATATTGTGCTACTAGGGTTGCAAGAGATGAGGGATGATGATCTTGTGTGCATGTTAATGGAAGGTGATTTGGATGGAGATGGGGCTATAAATCAGATGGAATTTTGTATTCTCATGTTCAGATTGAGTCCAGGGTTTATGGACGGATCAAAGCAAGGGATGGAAGAACTTTCTGCAAATGAAATGTAGGCATCTATCTGTGTTGTCCTTAATTTCATGTTCCTACTATATCGTTAAGCATTAATGCTGATATTGTCACGGAAATGAAGCTTTAATCAGTTGTATTATGAATAACCTTTTATGAATAATAATTTAAGATTAATTCCATTGTTAAGAAGAGATATCAAGGTCGATTTTGGGTTAGATTTTCTCTATCATACAAGTATACATATGCATGACAAAATTATCTAGAAAAAGGCTATGCATATTTTCTGTATTGCAAGTACCTCACGAGGAAACTCACCAGCCTTCAAAATTATCATTGATGTTTGATTCGGTACTGGTACAACGGAGTCAAGTTTCACCGTTTCCCTCTCTACCACGAAAAATTTACTCTTAAATGGGGCTTGCAATTTCTAGGAAACTACCCTGCTAGGTAGACAAAAGGATTCTCAAAATCTGTGGTAGATGATGAACACATTGAATTAAAGATTGATTGATGAATTTCTTTCTGGCATCATGAAAGTTAACGTAGTGCATTTCATCGTGCATTTTTTGAATTCCTGTTTGCCACAACGCCGCGCAGTTATATGAGAGTGCTTCCTGATCTTTTATGCCTGATTAAACATAGAAAACTAAAAAAAAAAAAGACATTTTTCCGGTTCTGTGTCAATCTCAACGGAAAAGAACTTGAATTAATTATAGAGTTGTTCTTGACTGAAGAGACTATATTTTTTTATTTTTTAGGCTCCTATATTTTTTTTTATCTTTTAGGCTTTTTGGTAATGAAAATTATATTACAATAGAAAATTCATATTTATAATTACAAGCTTATTGTTAATTATCAGCTTATAATTACATGCCGGGTTAATAAATAAATTTTGAAGATCATATAAACTTGGTTGAATTGCAGAAGAACTGCTATTGTTATTTGGTTTAGTTATTGTGTATATTCTTTATATTTTTCTTTCATATAATCCATATCAATTATGGACTTTATCAAGTTTAGTTTGCAATATGGTATACTGTTTATGATACAATCTTCACAACTCTTTAATCAATGTTAGAGTATAAAACAGTAGAAGGTTTCCTTCAGTCACTGTACGAGGCCTTGAAATCAAGGATAGAGTTAAATTCTCATAATCTCATGTAATAAAGGTTGGTTATCACACCAGGAGTGGAGAGCATCAGAGCAACATGTTTAGTAACGTAATTCAAACTATTTTTTACTTCAAATAGTTTTAAATTAAAAAAAAATTATGATTTTCGATATTAAAAATATAAAAACACATCATTTTAATATATATTTAAGTAAAAATATTTTTAAAAAATCATTATCAAACAAACACTAAATCTAGAAGTGCTAAAATAAGGGAATGGGATTTCTGAAAAAATGAAGTGCTTTTCATGTTAATTTTCTAGTAAATGCGATTGGTACAAAGTGAGAAAATACTCTCTCTTTAATTATTATGTTTAATTCATTTCTTGGGAGGTTGTTTAGAGTTCAAGTTACACAACTAGAGATCGATATTTCAGTTCATAGAATCAACTTAATTAAAACTTGAATTTAAATCTGCAGATGAAATATGAAATAACTTTGATATACAATATGAACTAATATATAGCATAGCAGCTTGTAGCCATGAATATTTGTCTCCATCACAATACTGTAGATACAGAATAGTTTTGAGCATCTGTGAAACGACAAGTAGAGAAGTTACTGATAGCCCGACCAAGGAAGGACCAATGGTCCAGGCGGAGGCCTAATATTTCTTGTAGAAACCCTCCTCACGAAAATGATGGGCCCCTTTTCATTGCTCGAGTGAAATTCTTTCTTTTTTCTTTCTTTTTGGTTTCGGAGAGACAGCCCTCGAACTGAAATGTAGATAAATTCGGTGTTGATTCTGAATCTCAGTTTTGTCTTCTGTCTTTTTTTATAAAAGACTGCAGGCTTGTTACAAATACAGTGTTCATGAAATTCTAGAATGAGCACTTTGTTGTGGAGACAGGCCAGGAGTATTGTGGAGAGCTTGAGAAAAAGAAAACCTTTTCTTTAATGGACTTTGGCAACCATTTTGATTAGTCATGAGTAGTTCATTCAACTTGGAGGGCACAGTAAGATTTAATTTATTGGTTTCCTCCATTATTGGAGCTTCAATTGACGATCTCACATTGGAAACAAAAAAAATGAAAAAAGTTTCTGACATCTGCCGAGACTGGCAATAGATGTTCTCTTTCCATCCAATCATGGTCGTTAGTGGGATGGGGAACCTTTTTAACCTCAAAGTTGGAGATAACATAGAGAAAGTGACTATATACTGTTTTATACTGATATTTACAGATACTTTTTTACATAAAAAAAATATTCGGATATTATTAGTATAATTTTAAAAAAAAATCAATTAGTTTAAGTTATAAACCCTGCTATATTTAATGAGATAATTTTATCTAATTATATGATAAAAAAATAATAATAATTTTGAAAAATAAACTAGGTTATCTCATATGTTTTTTGTTTTTTATTCTTTGTTTAATTTAGGTTTTTAAAAGAAAATTTATTTTTGATTTAAATTATGTTAATTGATTAAATATATGTATAGTATACCTACTTTATGATATTTTATTTAGTTTGTTTTCCAAGTTATTTTTTGGACATTGTATATTGTATCTTTTGATGTTTTTTTGTTATATTTTATTGTAATGTTAAACCTATCCTGATGAGTTTTTTCTTGTGGTAAAGTGGCATTCAAGATAGAGCAACAGTTGATTTTCAATAAGCATTTTTTTCCTCCTCCAGTTGAGTATGATATGGGAGCTTATTTTCCATATTTGTTGCTAAAAAGAATAAGTTCATTATATTTGCTGGTCATAATAGCTTTTTAAAAAATCATGTTATTAAACCAGCTGAGTTTATTGATTAGAATCAAATAAATAATTTGCATTTTGATATTTTCTTTTTTTTTTAAATGTTCACATCATCTAAATATTATTTGTACTCTAAAAAATATTTAGATAAACTCACATCATATCACACAAGTCATCTATCTCATACTTTATTCCAAAGGTAATGCAAGGATAAAATTTCCTTCACCTTATACACTCAAGTTTGACTCTATAATTTCCTCTCTTTTTTGGAAGAAATCATTTTATTTTTTCAATTTAAAAATTAAGGGTATCTTAAGTTATTTT